ATTATTCGGAACTTTTTTGTATGACTTCGTCAAGACAGCTCTGGATTCACGCTCTGAATTTGAGTGTAATAGTAATAATGATGACACTTGATCTTCAGACCGCTCTTTAGCTACGTGTCCACTTCGTGAGTTACTCCGCCTTTGCCTACACGCTCCTCTCACATTGACCAACCAATATCAGGCACTCGTTCGCTCTTCAGGCACCCTTCCATCCGCTTCCATTCTTCGTTTCACACGCAAACCCAATACCTAATCTCTTCCATTTCGTTCTTGGGAGCAACTCACTCGTGGAGATCCAATATCATCGCCACCGTCAATACACGATCAAGTCTGCTAACTTCGACTACGACGACGCCAACACGGGGACAACCTTGCTGCATGTCCTCGAGACTCAATTCAACCCAGAACCGTACAGCGCGTTCTTTGACGGCTGCAACGTCATCAATGAACCTGCATTCGAAGCCATCTCCTTTTTTGTGAGTGGCTCTGTTATATAGACCGTTGTGCCGTTGCTCACTTCAATTGCTTCCTATGACGTCTCTTGCCTCCTACGACACTGACTCTAATTTCTTCCCTTAGACAATAATCTCCCGCCAAACGGGGATCAATCAGACTTTGCCAAATGGTTCTCAAACCCTTTTCCCATATCGGGCGCCAAAGCTATAGCAAGGTTTTCAGCCACGGGTACGTCCAGTCTGTAGTTGCAGCAGGACAAACCTCACAAGTTTCTACGAATACTCCCCTTGGTCCATTCGGAAAACATAGTTCCAATCGACACGGCAGACCTCAGACAGCACAGCTTCATTCTTCTTTCCACAATGCCTCTAGTTCATTCGACGCTTCCGGTAGAGCAGCCCACGGTAGCGCGGATGCCGTTGAAGACTACAATGAAGCTTTAGTGCCATATTTTGAAGCATGGCAGCAAGCACAAGCAAAAGGGAAAAAATGGAAGCAGTATCAATTCGCAAAGAGAATAGGGTGGGAAGAACACTCGGTTCTACCGGATGAAAAGGGAAATGAAGTGGTGGATCATGGGCCTCATTCAGATGTTCTGCTCAATCGTGGAGAACTGGACCGTGCCGTTACCACAAGCGCTGTGGACGACATCAAGCAATCCCAGGACCAAGCAGCAGAAGCTGAGGCTGTTGCTAAAGTGAATGAGGCTATCGCAAACGAGATCATCCAGATCCAGCAGTCTGCTGCGTCTAGAGATCAGCCACAGACATCCGCGGTCTCGGCTTCTCGAAAAGAAGATCTCAGGCAATTCTCTGTGGATAACGGACAGTCTACCAATCCGTCTTCTTTGTCACCTGTGGTCACCGCGGACGATACTGCCCGCTCCACCCCAGTCAGCGATGTCACAGCAGTCAGTTCTGTGCACGATACCGATTCCCAAATCCTCTCAGAACGGATTTGCAAGCTTCACGAAACAGAATCTTACAGCCAGATTCCTCCCATCTTTGAGTCGATGCTGGCTCATGGCCTACGTCCGAGTGTCAAGGCTTACAATGCACTTCTTGCTTCTGCTATACATCTTCCTATAGCCAAGCACCAGGTCGTTTCAAAGGCCCTCGATGTGTACTCCGACATGCGACAGCGTATGGTGGCACCGGACACGGCTTTCTATACCACGCTTATTCAGATTCTCTCGCGCCGTGCTCTGGATGTGTTTGCCATGAAAAATGCTCTGGAAGAGAAGCGACTTCGTTTCAACGGGAATGCTGGAGAAAGAAATTTTATGTTCGCCTCCAACGAAGCGGAATACAACATCTTGGCTGAGGACGATGCCTTACGCAATGCAGTCAGAATCTTCAAGACTTCGACCTCCTCGCCCAAAACTTGTCTCTACTCGGCTGAGACATACCGCCTTCTAATAACAGCTTGTGCTTTCAACGGTCAGGTCGAGGACATGATTAATGCCTATAGCCATATGGAGTCATACAAGGTTGAGCCAATTGCATCGACCTTTCCACCAATGATCGAAGCTTTCGCAAAATCCGGTGATCTTGGCAACGCTGTCGAATGTTACAACGAATACAAGTCTTTAGCCATTGCGAATGATGCCGGTCAGTCTGCTATCATCGGCCGCAAAGATAACGATGTGTATGCGGCCGTTGTCAAGGCGTATGCCATGTGTGGCAGAGCTGATGGAGGCCACCGCTTTCTAAAAAGAGTTGTTGACTCTTTTGTTGGTGTGACGGAGTATCGCAAGGAACGTCTTGAAGCGGTCCAAGACACGGTGGTTCTGAATGCGCTTGTAGAAGAGTCTTTAAGTGCCGGTAACTTTTCTGGAGCTCTAAGGGTCGCAGAAGAGCGTAGCCTGACGCCATCTGTGAGAAGCGAGGCTATGTCCCGAATATGCACGACGGCTGCAGATCATGGCGACGTCAATATTGCGACCCAAGCCTATCAGTACCTATCATCGACGCCCGAAGAGACACCAAGAGCAGCCTTGTCAATGCTTGCTCTGCATATCCGTCAAGGCAATCTCGACATTGCCGGCGATTACTGGGCTCTTCTGATTGCGTCTTCGACGTTCGACACTTCATTTGTAGAACCTACGACTCTGTACGCTACTGCTCTCATTCGAAAAGGCCTCGTCGATGAAGGATTAATGCAGCTTCGTGAAGGCTTCGGGCGCATTCGCGCTTCTGCTGGAGTCGCAACCTTCTCCTCGGAAGTAACAGAAGAGATAGATGAGGCTATTGAATTCATCGGTGCTTTTCTCGCGAGGAGCGGCGTTACTCCTTCAGCAAACGCGAGTATGAGCTTTTTGTGGGCAATGATCGAAAATGGCGGCCTAGTCTCTCCTGTTGCTGAGCAAATGCTCGCTGGACTCGGTCCCGAAGATATCACAAGCCTTAGCTGGCAAGACATGACTCTAGCTTTGCAGGTAGAGGCCGGATTACTTGGAAGCGGTAAAGTCTCACATGACATTGCTCACTTGGCTCGGTTTACACACCTGTTCGATATTGCCACTAGCTCTGGTGCACTCTTAGATGAGCGTACAGTCAACTTGATCGAGAAAGCGTTGGGCGCTCTGTCACACGAGCGTCCAGACCTCATCAGTAAATGGCAGAGTTATCGACAATTGCCTACAGAGCAAGCTTACCCTCAGCGCGCTTTTACACCACAACCTACACCTCCTGCCGTCTCCTCGATAGGATCATTTACAGATTCATATGACCCGTATTCCGCAGCCACCGACTATCGGGGCTCCACAATCATTGCAGAGGAATTAGAGAAACGCCGAAACAGCGCGGGTCTCAATGAAGCCCTGATGAGGTTCAGGAATATTCGTCGTGCTGGTCGCCATCCACGGTATATTGTATATTCAAAGCTCATCTCAGCCGCTGCCAAAGAAGGTCGAACCAATCTAATCCATGATATTCTTGGAATGGCACGACATGACATGCCCTTTTTGCCTCAGTATTCGGTCGTTCGACATGGATGGTCGTCCATTTTGGACGCCATGGTGGGTGCTTGCCTCACCCTTGGTAGGCGTACACTGGCGGCGCAGTTCCATCAAGAGATGCTCGAAATGGGTACTGCTCCTACCGCAAACACCTTTGGGCTGTACATCACTACATTGAAAGAATCTACCAAAACGTTCGATGAGGCCTCTGAAGCTGTCGCCATCTTTGGTCGAGCCATAACCGAGGGAGTAACACCTTCGTCCTTCCTCTACAACGCTCTCATTGGTAAGCTGGGCAAAGCCCGTCGTATCGACGACTGTCTACGCTACTTTCAGGAGATGCGTGCCGCAGGCATTCGCCCTACAAGCGTCACATACGGTACAGTTGTCAATGCGCTTTGCCGAGTCAGTGATGACCGCTTTGCGGAGGAGCTTTTCGATGAAATGGAATCTATGCCAAATTACAAGCCTCGACCAGCGCCGTACAACAGCTTAATGCAATTTTTCCTGACGACCAAGCGCGACAGCCAGAAGGTGCTTTCGTACTACGACCGCATGCAGTCAAGAGAAATCCAACCTACCATGCATACCTACAAGCTGCTCATTGACACTTACGCTACTCTCGAGCCCGTCAACCTTGCTGCGGCTGAGGGTGTACTTGATACTATCCGTGCATCGGGCCAACGCCCTGAGGCAGTCCACTATGCTTCTCTCATCCACGCCAAAGGATGTGCCCTTCATGACATGGTCGATGCTCGCCGAACATTCGATGAAGTACTGGCTGGTGGCGAGATTCGTCCGCAAGCTTGCCTCTATCAAGCCTTGTTTGAGTCAATGGTAGCCAACCACTGCGTCGCGCAGACGGAAGAGGTCCTTGACTCAATGTCCGCAAATCGAGTTGAGATGACACCATACATCGCCAATACCCTCATCCACGGCTGGGCCATGGAAAACATGATTACCAAGTCTAAGGCTGTTTATGACAGCGTTGGTATGGAAAAGAGAGAGCCGAGCACTTACGAGTCTATGACCAGAGCCTTCCTTACTGCCGAAGATCGAGATGGTGCACTCGCTACTGTCCACGAGATGCTGTCAAGAGGCTATCCTTCGGCAGTATCCAGCAGGATCCTGGAATTAGTCGGACATGGCATGCGAGGGGGCAGCGTTGTCCTCTCGGAGCTAATCGCCTAAGTTACCTTTTCAATTTTCGGACTCGTTTTCTCGATTTTTGGCGTTCACTAGGATGATACCCAGGCGTTGTGCGGCAGCTTGCATTGTTTTCAGTATTCGCCGCATACATGGGGAGGAGCAGGCGCTAAACTCGAGGAATTGGAATCCGGAAGTCCCATTGCTCCTGTAACAACAGTCTGAGCTGGCGTTGGGAGAAAGTATAACGATACAACATTTGTTGGAGGCTCTATGATGAATTTCAGTTGTGGAAGGAAGCGAAAAGTGTACGATAGGAATAGACCATCTCCACTTATAGCTAGATCTGGACAAAGCCAGTATCTAGGTCATCTGCTCATAGCAAGCGATGTACAATAGACATGCTGATTAACCAATCCGGCTCCTTTATGGTGTTGTTTCATGGACTCAGCCTTTCAATCTTCCATCCATCTGCTTCTCCTCCATCTCTAACGTACTTGAACCGGTCATGCAATCTACTCTCCCTACCTTGCCAAAACTCTACCATGTCAGGCACCACTCTCAACCCGCCCCAAAATTCTGGCACAGGAATATCTTCTACGCCTTCGAACCTCCTCTCGACATCCCTCACTCTACTATTCAACACCTCTCTCCCACCACTCTCCTCGGGTAACACTTTACTCTGTTCACTAGCCCATGCACCTACCCTCGACCCTCTCGCCCTCAACCCAAAGTACGCCTGACTCTCCCCACTGCTCAACCTCACCACCGTCCCCTCAACCCTGACCTGCCTTTCCAGCTCGTGCCACCAAAATGCCAAACTAGCTCGTGGATTCGACTGCACGTCTTGGGCTTTCCGGCTGGTGCCCCAATTGCTGTAAATGACAAAGCCGGTGGCGTCGAGTTCCTTTAAATAGACGAATCGGCTGGAGACGGAGCCTGAGGGTAGATGGGCGGTGGACAGGCAGACGGTTTCGGGTTGGTGGACGTGGGATTGTTGGGCATGGGTGAACCAGGTGTGGAATTGGGTGAAGGGGGAGGGTGAGAGTTGATGGCGCTCTAGTGTGCCCTTTGTATATTGGTCGGCTTGTGGGGAGGATTTTTCACCGGCGGGAGCAACTAAGTGGACATGTCAATGTGTGTAGAGGAGGCAAGAGCAGAACGGAGTACGAGGAGGATGAGGGGGTGGAAATACAAATAAGCTTCGAGCTGGGCTTTGCTGCCATGCGAGTGGTTTTGAGGAGTCTGATAGGGATTATTCTCATGGATATGCCGGCGCCTAGCACAAGATGCTGTTAAGACTTTGTGAAGAACAATGGCATGGAATTTACGAGCATGTCATTGCCTTTTTTTGGGGTCGAACCCTAATTCTAGGCCTTTTTGGATCGAAGTCTCGTACTGTTTGTCCTTGCTCTCTTTGGAATGGGGCACGAGTCAGACGATCTTGAACATTGGTTCTAGCATTGTACAATCTATTGAGTGCAACATATGGTATCCCGATGTAATGGCCTGCTTCCACACGCTGGAACGATAGCTCGCTAAACGCTGCAATAAAACATCATGGGTGCTCGTAAGGCTCAGGCTATGACAAACGGCTTCGCACCCTCCCCAAATATTAGATGCGGCTTCCTTGCGGCAAGATCAAGAATAGTCTGAGCGAAGACTGAGTTAGCCCATGCAAACCAGCTTCCTACTTGACGGTCAGTATCCGGAGCTCCGACGTCAAAGAAGATAGAAACGCACGAGTATAATCAGCCACTCGCCCCACATTGACACTTTCATGGATAAGACCAAGCCTGCTCGTGTCTCGGACATTATTGAGGACCTGCTTTATCTCATCGTCATCGTTACTCGTCATCGCCTGGACAAGACGACTCATAGGCCAAGCGTGTTGCAACCCAACATGCGGACCGCCAACCCCCGAGAAAGCCTTTCCGACGAGACAATAGGGGTTGCCCGCTCGGTCCAGTATCATCTTTCTGGTATTCCTATAAACTTTGTTGTTCGCATCGACAAAGCCTAGCAAAGGTAGTGCCAACAGCGACGGCAGGTTAGCGTCATCCATGAGAATCGAAGATCCATAGCCGTCGACCTCAAATGCGAATACTTCGCCATATATCTTATTGGTCACCACACCGTGTTCCCATACGCCCTTTTCTATGATTTCACCTTGTTCTTTCAATCTACCAGCAAGAGCGTCTTTCCCAGCGGATTTCAAAAGTTCAGCAGTCCGCTTTAGCTCGACAGCCATCATTGCGTTCGCCGGGATGAAGAAACCTAAGATCGTAGCGTCATCACTGGGCCTGAAAGCACTTCGAATAAGTCCGGTTCCCGCTCCCAGGGGATTGCCAATCCCTGAAAGACTCAACGTCTCCGTCCCCCGGTTTGTCATTCTTCGAAAGAGGTATTCGTTTTTCTCAAATTTTCCAGTTGCAAAATTGAAGGTTGGTTTGGCTTGTTCAGTCAGAACCTCGAGGATGGTATCCAAGGCAATGTACCATCTTGAATTCAAAAATGCCTTTGAGCCAGTACTGTTGTGGAATTGATTCCCCAAGGCGAGGAAATGAGCAAGCGAGTCAAGTTCATATTTGCATTCAAACACCCTGGAAGGCTCATATGCTGGATGGACAGTATCGTCTTGCCCGTTGTTGACGGCAGGCTCACCGCTGGGCGGCGGCGGCTGGAAAGCATTGCAATATGGCGATTCGATAACATACTCAGCTTGTGTGTTAATAGCACCAAGAATAAGGGTCTCCAGCCTTTTGTCTTTCTTGGCCAATGCTTGGTACTGTGCCAACTGATTCGTGGAGTCCCTGAGCCATTCAGCATTGATGTCCCCTGTTACAATAAAGCTCTGCGCTCCTTCCCATGATCCATCGCGGTAACGCTTGTGCTTCTCTGTCGAATCGACGTGCCATCTGACTGTAGTATCCAAGGTGTTCGGGAAAGCATTTTCGAATATCCTTGCCAGGTCTTTATCCTCCATCCGGGCGCTGATCTCCTCGATGATTTCCTCTACAAGGGACGATGAAAACGTTCGACAGTGTGGCGAGGGCCGCTGATATGGTAAAGCCAATGGTCCCTTGCTCAAGGGTCGACTGTGGTACATGTTAGCCTCTTTCGAAAGACTGGATAGGCTGGGTACCTGGCATACTGAGGGACTACAGAGTAATGTTTGTAATCTGGACAAGCTGTCTTATACCTTTCCCCATCTATGCCGAATCCCAAAGCCTCTTGGTTGCTGCCATGCTTCGTATCCTCAAGACCTCCAACGAAGCCATTCCAAAAGAAGCTACTTCCTAGCAGGGCATGAGTCAACAAGGACAGTATCATGGCTGGAAAGAACCATGTAGCAGAACCCTCCGACAGATTGCGCAGGATGCTACCACGGTTTTCCTCCCCAGTGCCAATAGCTGTCGTCGAAGCGAATTGGCGGTCTATTAGGTTTGGAGAAAACGTGGGTACCGGCTAGAGAGAAATGGATTTGGACGTTGTTCTCTCATGGCGGGAAGGTCGCCATGAACAGTGGTGGAGCTGTTTAGGCCAGCAGTTGTCAACGAGAGAGCTGAGTTCGTAGTAAAGGGTGCCTTTGAGTACTCTTAGTGTTGGAGGAATGAGAGTCTCGAGAGGCTCGGCGCGATGCCTGGAGAAAGATCGGCGCTAGGTAGCCGCTAGTCCAAGCGTTTGGCGTGACTGGTGACATGCCGAACCAGTCTTTCATCATTCATGAACCATTAATCGACCACGTTTACTCTACCATTCACGCTTTTCTCTTCCTCCAAAGCTCACCCTGCAACACCTCCTGCAAATCCGCAAAAGCACTGCTTGAACCTCCTTCTGTCTTACCAACGCCTTGTCCTGTCTTCAAACAGACTGGGGTATTTGTTGTTGTACTCTACCAGCATCGTTCTTGCCGTTTCGTTCCATACCCTTACAACCAACCTCACACGACAGGTAGGGCTTGCCTCTGTGCAAGCACTATTAAAATCATCCACCATTCACTCCCACGCTGATATCCCGAAGGCGGCCACGCTGGGTAAGAGGAAATCTTCTGACGAGCATAGCCGCCCTGACAAGAAGAAGATCATGACGGTATGTGTGCATAGCCTCCTGAAGATGCCCTTGCTTATTAATCTTATTCTTGCCGACTTCCCCGAGCTTACTGGCTCTGACCACATCCTCATTGGCTGCCCCTTGGTTTTCAATGTCAAAAGAGAGCCTGGCTAACAACTTCATCTCTCAGGCGTCCAACATGGAAATAGACGGACCCTCCGTTGGATCCGAGCAGCTCAAGAACGGCGAAATTGATGAATCCTTATACAGTCGACAACTGTATGTCCTTGGTCATGAGGCTATGAAGCGTATGGGTTCCTCGCACGTCCTTATTGCTGGTCTGAGAGGGCTCGGAGTGGAGATCGGTTGGTTTCCTTGCAGTTCCCACATTGCACCCATCAGCATCTAATGACCTATAGCTAAAAACATCGCCCTCGCTGGGGTCAAATCCCTGACGTTGTTCGACCCAGAGCCAGCTGCTATCTCTGATCTCTCCTCACAGTTCTTCCTACATCTGGACGACGTTGGTAAGCCAAGAGCTGCCGTTACTGTCCCTAGGGTTGCAGAACTCAATGCATACACGCCTGTGTCTGAGCATCCTAGCAAGAGCCTCACAGAAGATCTGAGCCAGCTCCATCGTTATCAAGTAGTTGTCTTGACAGGGATTTCGCTTAGAGATCAAGTAACGATATCTGATTACTGTCACCAGAACAGTATCTTCATTGTCATTGCGGATGTCTTTGGGCTCTTTGGCTCAATATTCACGGATTGTGGGAAAGACTTCGCAATAGCAGACCCTACAGGGGAGAACCCGGTCAGCGGAATAGTTGCCGGCATTGATTCGGACGGCTTGGTGTCGGCTTTGGATGAGACGAGACATGGTCTCGAAGATGGCGACTTTGTCACTTTTACAGAAGTACAAGGTATGGAAGCGCTCAATAACGCAGAGCCTCGCAAAATTACCGTCAAGGGCCCCTATACATTCTCCATCGGAGACGTGTCCAATCTGGGACAGTACAAGCGTGGCGGGCTCTACCAGCAAGTGAAAATGCCCAAGATCATCAGCTTCCAGCCGTTCTCGGAACAATTGAAAAAGCCTGAATTACTAATGTCCGATTTTGCTAAATTCGATCGACCTCAACAGCTACACCTGGGCTTTCAGGCCTTGCACGAGTTTGCAAGCAGAAATAGCGGAAAGTTGCCACGACCCTACTCGGACAAAGATGCTTCTGAGGTCTTCAAGTATGCTCAAGCTTTAGCTGGTGATGGAGATGACAAGGTAGAGCTGGACGAGAAACTGTTGCGTGAACTTAGTCACCAAGCACGAGGAGATCTTGCTCCTATGGCTGCTTTCTTTGGAGGCTTAGCTGCGCAAGAAGTGCTGAAGTCTGTCTCCGGTAAATTTCATCCAATCGTACAGTGGCTCTACTTCGATTCCTTGGAGTCTCTGCCTAGTTCTGTAAAGCGATCTGAAGAGCTATGCAAGCCGTTAGACTCTCGCTACGATGGACAGATCGCTGTGTTCGGTCGGGAATTCCAGGAGAAGCTCGCAAACGTTAACGAGTTTCTCGTTGGTGCTGGTGCAATCGGCTGTGAGATGCTGAAGAATTGGGCCATGATTGGACTGGCAACAGGCCCCGAAGGCAAGATCAAGGTGGCAGACATGGACCAAATTGAGAAGAGCAATTTGAACAGACAATTTCTGTTCCGCCCAAAAGATGTCGGAAAGCTGAAGAGCGAGTGTGCTGCCGAAGCTGTTCAAGCCATGAACCCAGATCTCAAAGGGAAATTCGTTATTCTTCCGGACAGAGTCGGCGCCGAGACAGAACATATATTCAATGAAAGCTTCTGGGAAGAATTGGATGGCGTCACCAATGCTTTAGACAATGTGGACGCAAGGCAGTATGTCGATCGTCGGTGTGTCTTCTTTCGGAAGCCACTTCTTGACAGTGGAACACTCGGCACCAAAGGCAACACGCAGGTCATCTTGCCAAGTTTGACTGAATCTTATTCAAGTTCCCAGGACCCTCCCGAGCAGTCATTTCCGCAATGTACGCTGCGTAGCTTCCCAAACAAGATTGATCACACGATTGCTTGGGCAAAGGAGAAGTTCCATGAGTTTTTTGTTGGACCGCCGGAAACCGTGAACCTCTACATAACACAGCCAAATTAC